GATCAATCTTTGAGTCAATTTGACTGTTTCTTTCTGAATGTAACTTTCTAGGTCTTCAAGGGATTCCCAGGTCAATTTATCTTTCCTTCTAAACTCTTGCAACATTTACTGGATGTACCAACTCATTTAACATTTGCTTTTTATTGTCTATAGAGGCCAGAGGAATGTGTGGTAAGGAAAAAAAACTCTTGCTTAGGCTGCAGGAGAGCTGGTTCTTAGGCTCTGCTTTGTCCTTCACCTACTGAGTGTTTAACCTTAGCCATGTGACTTAGGCTTTGGGGAACTTATATGAAATGTTTATTCAAGTTCTGTCACATTCTAAGAACATCATATTAATGAATGGTTAATGCAGGTTATACTGTGACTTGTAATCCACAGAAAAATATAGTACTGTGCCTGACAATTTTATATAACAAATTTATTTGTCACCTCTTCTGTGTTCCTGATTAAACATATGAAAGCTTGCAAACTTGAGTAACTTATTTATAAATTTTACTAAAATGACTCCCCAACACCCCCCCATAAAAATGAAACTTGGCCATAAGAAAATGGTCAGTTATACATAAAAACTAATAAAATATATTAATTAATTTGTTTATTACATTATTGTTTATTATTTAATATTAATTTACCATCCATTTTTATCAACTTTTAATGATTGTTTTAGATTTTACAAATATAAAAAAGAAAGAGAAAACAGTTGGATAGGATGATTTCAATGGTCTGTTCCACTTAAAAACTTCTGTTTTTTATATCTACTTTTCCTATAAAAGATACCATGCTAAGTAAAATAAAGCAGCCTCAAAAATACAAATATTTAATGATTCCAGTTACATATGAGGTACTCAGAATAGTCACATTCACAAAGACAGAAAGTACAATAGTAGTTACCTGTCTGGGAAGAGAAGGTAATGGAGAGCTGTTGTTTAATGAGTATACTGTTTTAGTTTGGAATGATGAAAAAGTTTTAGAGATGGACACTGGTGATGGTTGCATAACAATGTGCATATAATTAGTGCTGCTGAATTGTGCACTAGTAAATGGTTAAGGGCTGGGGATGTGGCTCAGTGGTAGAGCACTTGCATAGCATGTGCAAGGCCCTGGGTTCAATCCCCTGCACCACAAGAAAAAAAAAATGTTAAAATGGTAAATTTAATATAATACAGATTTTACAGAAAAATTACAGGTTAAAGGAAATGCATGTTTTCAAAAGCATTTGACATTCATTATCTAAATAATGAGCATAATAAATATATGTTAATTGAATGAAAAAAAAGGTTGGGGTTAGAGTATGAAAATTAGTTTGAAAGAAAGGTGCTATTACTCTTGATGCTGATTTTGCACCATAATCACAATGTTTTTAATATTTATACTGTATGTTTATACATAGTGCTTTGGGTATGGATGAAGCAGTTAATAAACATAGTGAGAGGGTCTCATGCTCCCACCAAGTTACCAATTGGGGCTCCATGGCACAATCTACTGCTGTGAGTGCCTTCAGAGTAGGTACACATTCCATCTTTCCATGACACACAGTGGGAGTTCTATCAATTGTCTGATTTTCATTTCATTAAACATATTTAAAAGGATTTTGTCAAACCAAAACTAATCTATAAAGGATTATTCATTATGCAAATTTAGTATTACAACTATTAGAAAACATGAGTCCAAATATTTTTTTGTAGAACTTTCTAGAAGATATTATTACTTACATCTGCAATGATAAATAACTGGACCTAAAAATCCCCAGAATGTTAAAGTTCCAAGCAGAGATCACAGATTATGTATCCTTTATATGCTTCACATCTCTCCTAGCATTCTATTTACTTTTTCATTTTGTGGAAGAAAATGTTTATCTTTAACAGATGTTTACAAAATGTTGATTAGAGCAATACAGAATACTAAATGTGATATTTGCTTTTAAAGGAACATGAACTGATTAAAAAAATTGTAGAACCTTTTATTGGAAAAGTTCAAAGTACTAAAAAGATATGAATAGCTCACTAAAGCCACAGTAATATATAAATATACTAATTGCTTGCGCATTCTTGCTGATTCTGCAACCTAAATAAATATATAAGCGGGTTAATATTTAATTTTCTTAATCTTATTTTTATATCCCCCACTCTTTGATATTCATAAGGCTTACAAATACAGATTTTAAATGCAGACTTTTAATTATTCCCAGATAAAACTGGGATTATACAGATTCTTGCAAATTCCTGGGAGGAATTAACTAGAGGGGTTTTCTGGAATTTTGAAGATCAAATCTTCACTTAAAAAACACTAATAATGAAAACTTAGGGCATCACTTTAACTTTGATCTGTTTTCCTTGAGCAATATCAAAAGAATAATTTCCTGTGTTCACTTGAATTTAACTCCTTTGGTGTTAATTGTTGCTCTCATTTGCATTGAGGGAAACTTACCATTGTCACCTAAGAAAGGTACACGTTTAAATATCTGTTGGTAAAGTTAGCAAATATTTAAATTAATTTAAACTTGGATAATTTAGGAGATTTTAAATATTTAGTTGATTAAGATTAAAACAAGCTAATAACTACATTCCCCTAAAAGGGAAAAAGGAAATAAAAAATAAAGAAAGGCAAAGAGAAAGAAAAAAGGGAAATATGTTTAATCCTCTATGTTGTCAATTTGTTTTTATGTACAACTACTATTTTCTTATGATCAAGTTTTTTTTTTAATGGATTGGGAAGTCATTTTAATAAAAACTACAATTAAGTTACTTAAAGTTACATCTTTCCTTCCTTTTATTTAATCAGGAGCACAAGTAAATCTGACAAGTAAATCTGCTACATGGAAGAAATTATCAGGCACAATACTTTATTTTCCTGTGGATTACAAGTCACAGTAATCTGCATTAAATATTCATTAATACAATGTTCTTAGAACGTGACAGAACTTGAATTAACCCTGCATACCACGTAAAGGAAACTAAACTTATATGAAAATATGTTTACCAAACTCAACCACCAGAGGCTTGACTACAAAAGGATATAAAAGTTTGAGGTTTCCTAAATTAGTGATATCATCATATTAATAGAATCATCTTTCATTTAAGAATATTTTATGTAAAGGAATCTTAATAGGTTTTCATTCCAGCAACAGTCATTTCTTACCTGTTTTCCAAATCTATCTTTAAAAAAAAAAAAAAGAAAAGAAAAACTTAAAATTTTATCATCTTTGCTTAGTTTAAGTATTCCCTCTCCCTTAGAAATTCTGAGTCAGGAAGCACCAAGTTGCAATCTGGGAATCTTTTTAAACCCCTCCCCCTCACTTGCCCATAGTTAGTCCTAGGTAATTTTAAAAATCAGACACATTTGTGAAACACTACACTAATTGCGGGAGATGGGAAGCAAAGCATTTATTTCCAAACTCTGAGCCAAACAGGAATATCAACAGGGAGAGAGGAGTTCCATTAGCTTCATTACTTATAATGAATTCAAGGTATTTGCATTAATTAAATTCAAGGTATTTTAACAAGGACATTAATAAGGACTTACATCTGGAAAAAGTTCTCATATACACCATCCCCACCTTTAAAAATGAAGATGTTTGTTTTTATTGATCACTTTATATAATTATCTTTTAAGCAATGTCTGTAAAACACAAAATAGAATAAGACATTTTCTAATTGTTTTTAGAGATAGAAATAAAAAGGGAAATACCTGTAGGATAAATTGCCATTTATAACTTGTTTCACCTGCCTTCTACGCCCAGTAAGAAATTACATTTTTTAAAAAGTGTCACAACAAATATAGTCATAATTTAAATCTGTAATATGCAGGTGGTGGTTTAGTTCAAAAGCTTGAAGAGGTAGTTTATTCTGTGCAAAAAGTAAAGTGTAACTTATATGCATCTTATGTAAACCATATGACTAAGAGTTAACTTCAAAAGTAGCAAAAAATTCTCAAAAACTTAAAGTATGTTCTGAATTAGACTACAAAAAATACTTGTAGGGGGAAAAATGTTTCTTCTATTGCCTTTATTTTTCTCCTCATAGGGATATTTTTAAAGTTCAGAATGAGATCACTTAGCTAATTCATTAGTCAATAGTAGTTGAGTGGATTATTTTCACCTTTTATATTATTATCAGGCTGGGCAAAGCCAATTCTTATCTACTTTGGTTTCAAACCCAGGAATTAAGGGGAAAGGGCCAAAATATGTTTTATTCATCATATAGTATGCATTTAAGTGATCTGTCCACAAGGCCATAATCCACTATGCTTTTCAAGTAAACACCATCCACCCAGTGGGAACACATCTCTTTATTCAACACTTAAGAACTAGCTTTAAAACTGGAAGTCTCCAAGAAACACCTGTGATTGTTTATATCTGTTTTCGTGGATGCACTAAATAATGTAGAGATTTTCTTTCACGCTTTGTGTCTAACCTTCTACATGATTAGGCCAAACCGGGTTTAATTTTTTCCACCTATGCTCTGTCCATACCAACTAACTGCGCGTCTCACAAAACCGCCTCTCAAAATGCAGAGAAAATGTAAAGCAAGGAGGTAAAGATTTTTTTCTAAATATAGTTCCATCATGTTTACTTTACACTCATCAAGTAGGTCACAAGAGGCAGCCAACAGCTATCAGCACTTAGAAGCATCTCTCAAATGTACACGCTGCGACCAAGGGGCGCATGACAGTTATGCCATCTACCTGTTGAACCTGGGCTACTGCTCTCCACGACTGTCAAATTGGCTAAATCAGCTTATTCGACCTAGAAATGCCAATGATTGGATTAAAAATAATAATAAAGTTGCTGGCTGCTCTGCCTTCCCGTCTGATTACTTTCGGGTCGCTACAGCAGAACCCAGGGCGCCCTCCGCGAGACCCGCGAGCTCCTCTGCTCTGCTGGCTGCAGCGGCGTTGCTGGGTGGGCAGCGCCAGGCCGGGGGCAGCCTCGCTGCAGGGACAGAGGACCTCACAGGCCGGGGCGCATAGGCAAGGAGTCCTCCCGGCCCAGATTGACTCACCTACCCTCCGGAGAGGCGATGGAACGCGCGCCGCTCAGCCAGCCCCAGCCCCAGATCCGAGGAGGAGGGAGATGGTGGCGGGGGAGCCGGTGGCTGGCGTAAAGAGGAAAACGTATTACCTAAGCCGGGGATGAGGAGCCGAGAAGGAGGCTACAGCCTTTCTCTTGAGAAACGGAAGAGGCGGGGGAGGAGAAAAGGAGGAGGAGGGAAATGATCCGGGGGAGGAGGAGGTGGCCCGGGTGTCGGAGGCTGGGAGAGGGGCGCCAGGCGTCGGGCCGCAGGCTCAGCTGGAGGACGAGGGGCGGGGAGGACGGCGGAGGTCACGGGAAGGGAGGGTGAAGCCAGGCCGACGCGCTGCCTAGCTTGGCCTCGGATTGCAGTGCTCAGCATCCGCCAGGTCGCCGCCCCCTCGTTTCCCCTGGAACTGTGGCGTGGAAAGGCGCGGTGACGCCTGCGGGCTTCTGCCGAGGGCTAGGGCACCCATGCCTGCCAGAGCCAGGCGTCCACCACGTCACACAAGTGGAGCGTGAGGATTCGAATCGGAGGGCCAGGAAGAAAAGGACTCCCGGGGTCACCTCGTTGGCCGTTTTTGTTGTTTCCTTGTAACCGCCCACAAATTCACTTTAAAAATCTTCCCCTTTCATTCATTCATTCTCTTGGGGGGATGATGGGTTTGACAGATGGGTTAGCAGCTGGGAAGATGGACTTCCTGCCCGTGGTATTCGGGTCTCATTCTTCTAATAGCAATGTCAGGATGATCTGGATGTTCTTGAAGCCATAGCAGTCTGTTGTGGGCGCATGCCTCTTGAGGTTTGGGCCCAGGGCCACCTACTCCAAAAGTATCATGGGCAGAGAACTCACCTTCAATCCTGTAAACTGTGGTAGTTAGTGTACCTTAAGGAAGGTTTTTTTGAATGGTAGGTTGGAATAGGAATGGGTGGCAGAGGGAGACCAGGGTAGAAATTTTAAAAGGACAACATAACACTCTTGAGTATAAGGGGCCTCACAGAGGCTGATGTTTCTGAGTGCATTGAGCTTCCTAAAGCAGTGCTTATACTTCATGAAACAACTAGGAAAGGATAATATTGCAAAGTCCCAAATGGGTCATTAGAAGAGGTTGCTCTTGCAGGAGGTGCCTAGGCCCTTCCACCTAGAGGGCTAAGAAGATCAGCCTCCATATACCTGTAACTCAGTCCATAGCAAAAATTGGGGAAGCTCTGTTTTAAAGTTGTAGCTAGCATGGTTTCTTTTCTACATTTTCCCAGCCACTCAAGACTACCTCACTAAGTTGTCACCACTTGGTCCTCAGAACAGTCAGGAACAACCAGACAAGAGCCTGGGGCAATGCTGACATACTCCAGAAAATGGTGCTTAAAACTTATACATCTCTCAACTCATTTCTCTGCTCCTGTGGTCTGTGAAACAGCTTCTCTCTCATCCATCCACTCCCCAACTTTTGTAAAGGTGAGATTGCAATAAATCACTGAATCAATCTTAAAGCAGGAGATGGAATCTTGATACATCTTGATCCACCAGCCAGCAGGCCAAGGGGTAGGCTGCAAGTCTACACCCTTCCACCCCCTCCTGAGATTTGAGTACATCTTTTATAGTCCAAAACCATATTAAAGCATAAGTGTCTGTTGCTATGATTCAAAACCATAAACAAACGTCATCATATCTAAAACCAGAAAAGGGAGTGGGCCAAAACATCCCTAGTTGTATACAAGTTAAAGAATGGTTACTAACATCTAGGCAATCAATCTCTGACAGGGTACAATGTCCAAAAAAATGGAATCAAAGAGAGGACACTTTTACATTGTAAGAGAATTGCCATTTTGTGTTGGCAAACATGCTATGTTAAGCAACTGTTGATGGTTACAGAGGTGGGCTTTCTCCTGGAGAAGCATTTCTTACATGACATGGAATCGCAGGGCAAAATGGAGTCTGTTTTGATAATTTTTATTTGTCTGGCCCATAACACTTTCACTCACTAGCAGATTCAGTTGATTTTACTTTCTCAGATGCATCTCTTAGGGATCCCTAGCTCCATCCCTGCTGCTACTGTTTATTAATTATATCCCTGATGGCAAAAATCAAGAAATAGTTTAAGCACCATATTTAGAAGTAAAGAGATAAGTACCTGAAGAAGTAGTTAGAAGTGGAAAGAATTTACCTCTAGGGAGTAGGATTTGGGCAGGAGAGAGCGGAGGAGGGACATAAATCTAGTCCATTTCTCCCCTGGCTACTGCAGTGATCATTTTATACCACACATCTCAATGCAGTTTCTTGCTTGTTTAAAAGGTTTCATTGCCCTCCTCCCCATCTCTGCTTGTATCAAACTTCTTCCCAGGCACAGTGACACATTGCTGTAATCTCAGCTAATCAGCAGGCTGACACAGGAGGATAGTAAGTTCCAGGCCAGAATGCACCACTTAAGTAAGAATCCCCATCTCAAAAACCAACCAACCAACCAAACAAACAAACAAACAAAAAGCTTCTGTGGACATGGCATTCAAGGCCCATTTTCTCCTCTCATCTGTCCATCCTGCCCCTCACATTTCATGCCCTATTTTACCATAACTCATCTAGTTTCCTAAACCCACAAATTGATTCCATACCTTTGCACATTTATACATGTTATTGCTTTCACTTTAAAGCATTCTCTTGCTGCTACAGTAAGTACTAACGACACTGTGCTAAGTGCTTGACATGTTTTATAGCTGTTAATTTTTGCATCACTCCTATGGTAGGTATTGTTGTTATCTCCATTTTATAAACAAGAAAACTGAGACTTAGAGAGGTTAAGTAATTTACTAAAATATGTGGTATACGTTAAAGCTAAATCTGAACCCAGCAATTTGACTCCAGGATTCACATAATATTACCTACTTATCCCTTTAAAACTGTTTTTTAGGTACTAAATTTGGGCAGGATTGAAAGATTTAAAAAGTCTTAAAAGGGCAAGGAGAATATATGAGTGAATTGCTTTAATCTCAAAGTAAGTATGGAGCAAATATTGAAATTCCAAAGGTAAAGTGACAGAGTTGACTACTGAACTTTAATTTCTTTCGTCTAAAATATCCATAGAATAAAATTAAAAGACAAATAAAAATTATCAAAATATGTAATATATGTGAACAATAAGGAAATAGCATCTTTTATTAAACAAAGATGTCTTATAAGCAAAATAAAAACATCCTATTCCAAGAAAAATGAACAAATACGCAAATCAGTTAAATTGTGAAAGAAAAATATGAATAATGATGAAACATTTTTAAGGAAATTGAAAACTTAAAGTGATGCACCGTCAACTTGGCTGAGAATAAAATAATGCTCATAGCTATTGAGCCAGCAACCCTTGGGGCAGAATGGGTGGCAAATGACCAAGCTCATGAATTTCTGAGAAGAAGTACGGGAATCAGCTCAAACATTCTGAGGGTAGTTTGGCAGAATGTAGTTAAAAAGCCTCAAAATGTTCACACCCTTTGACTACAAAATTACATTTCTGGGAATTTCTAATAAAGAAATACTCTATAACGGAGGTTTGCAAACATTTTCTGTAAAAGGTCAGATTGTAAGTACTTCAAAGTTTGAAGGCTGCATTTGCCTCCATTATTTTTCTTTCACACACATGCTTCTAAAAAAAATCTAAAAATGTACAAGCTATTAGTTTGAGAGTTGTAGAAAAACCAGTAGTGGCTTGAAATCACCATGAGAAAAGTAGTATGTGAAAAAAGTAACCTACAGGAAAGTTTGTCATATGTATTTGGTAACAGCCACAAGAGAAACCAAACTAAATGTCTGTGAATATTTACGTAGTTGTTATAATCAGATATAAACAGACATTTGGACAAGGTTTTACAAGTTTAAAATGTTGCAAAATGGTATCTATTGTGTGAAATAGTATTTATGATTTAAGTGGAAATTATAGTATACAAAAGAATATGTATCCCAATACAAATTAATCATATGTATATATTTGCATGGAAAAAGATCTGGAAAGATAGAAACACATTAATATGTTTGCAGTGGTCTGGGAGGAAGGATGGAATCGTATAAATATACTATTTAGGCTTTTTGGGGGGTTAGAGGGATTGAACTCAGGGGCACTTGACCACTGAACCACATTTCCAGCCCTATTTTGTATTTTATTTAGGGACAGGATATCGCTGAATTGCTTAGCATCTCACTTTTGCTGAGGCTAGCTTTGAACTTGTGATCCTCCTACCTCAGCCTCCCAAGCTGCTGGGATACCAGGCATATGCCACTGAACCGAGCTAGTTTTTTGTTTTGTGAGTCTGTTTCCCCTAGTGAATGTGTACTGTTTTTATAGTAAACAAACTATAAGAAAGTTTGCTTGTGGGACAACAAAGCATCTCAGGTGTCAATTTGAGAACAACTTTCCCAAATCCACTCCTCCAGATGAAGCTGGTTGCTCTCTTCTATGTTCCTTGATTACATAATGGTCTTTTGAGCACCATTATTTACTTAATTGCAGAATGGTTAAGCTTTTCTCTGTTCTTAGGCATTGGAGTTCCAAATACTCTTCTATTTTTAAGTATGCTGATGATTCTCCCACTTGCTCTGTGTCTGGTCCACTTACCTCTCTCTGCTGGACTCTGTGCTTCTAAAGACAAACTTTCATTAACTATTTCCTCTGGGCTCTCTTACCAGCTGGTATTCACTGATGGGTGACACCAATGAGATACCACGTAGATTAAAGTACAGAAAAGGAGTATTGGGGGTATTGCTTCTCATCTCTTTTCCTGCTTCTGGAGGGGTTCTGCAAGGCTTTGAAATTCTAAGGCTCCCACAAAGGCAGAACCCCCTCCTAGTAAGAAATGGACTAGATTTATACCTTCTTTATATCTCCCTTCCCCAAATTCCCAGCTTCCACTGGGCTCTGCCAATGTGATTTCCTACCCCTAGACCCTCGGGCCAAGCCTAACAGCTTCTTACTCTTGCAAGTGCCTGAGTACTCTATGACCCTTGTTTCCTTTTCCCCAACACTAACCCTAAATCTAATATAACTTCTGTAAATAGTCTGTACAATAAAATCTCTTTGGTTGAAACATCTGAGTGGAAGTCAGTTCCTGTTATGACAGGCTGACATATATTAAGGAACTCTGTTGATCATCACAGAACACAAATCTTTTATTCTTTATTGCAACAAGCCCTGGAAATTCTCAGATTTTACATCCAAGGTAATTATAGAATGATTTATATGTTTCCTGAGCAGGAATTTGAATCACTACTGTGAGGCCAGTGTGTGTGAATGTAACACTATCATTCC